ACATTGAACCTTATGGGAAAATTTGATTCGGGTCGCGACCAATTCGGGTTGTGACCAGAGTTGCAGAACGAATTAAGTTCGTGACCTGAGGTACCACTGTACTTCTTTTTTTAGATTGAAACATTGTTATAACTGAAACTCTTGAGACTCTTAATATGGTATTCCTTCACTTGCAGTTTCATTGATGGCATGATCTGGGATGGAATAAGAAGTTGATTTCCATCAATTGAAAGTGCTTAAACTGGAATGCCTGTGAATCATCATCAACTGTGTGATTCTAAAAATGATTGATTGATTGATTGATTGATTGATTCAATTTATATGGCTGCCCTGCTAGCAAATGCAACTCTGAGTGGCTAACATCAGGTTAAAAGCAACGAACAAAAATATCAGAGCAAGAAACTAAAAACATATTGTGGATGAAGCCAATTACATTTCTACCTGTTAACCCCTTAAAGTGGGCTCATCTAATGCCCTGGCCCAATGCCTAAGGGAAAAAAACAGGTATGTGACATCTTATATAGGGCAGCAGGGTTGCAGCCCCCTGGATCTTGTGTTGGGTCCTCAACAAATTGGGTCAGTTTCATTGTGGCTATAAACTCTCAAGCCACTGACTCTGCACCCAAGGAAGGTAGACTGAAGTCCCTCAGTACCATAAATCTTAGGAACTCCACCATCAACCCAGCCGCAACATTAAACAGCTCAGCCATGAAAGCCACTATATTGCAGAGAGGCTGGCATAGCAGCAGCAATCCCATTTGATCCCAAGAGCCTTTGTGGTTTTCATAAACAGGATTTCATTTCTGTTATCTACAGAGCAGTGCCTGTGAAAACCACCAGAGCCTCCCAGATAACTAAGGCCATTCTACTGCTCCTGTACTGGGGTTGTGGCTGGTGCTGTGCTTGAAACCCAGTGGACAGGTTTACAGAAGGGGACACTCTCCTCCATAGCCATCCACCCAGAAATCTGGGCCACTGAGGGTCCAGTGATAGGGTATTGGGGCAGAGCTCAGATCTGGAACACAGAATCTAGTTTAGATACCAAGGCTGCCTTCCCAAGAGCTTCCTCCTCTGTTTCCCATCATATTTCTCACTGCCTCTCACTACCATTATGTTATTGTCAGCTCTTTGCTCCTGGCAGACCTCCTCTCCCTCCAACTTCTGGCATCTCTCTCCCAGGTCAAAGTGTCCCATCTAACACTCAGATGACACAACCACCTTAACCAATTGGCTGATCTAATTCTCCAGGTCCCTTGTCTGAGCTATTTCCCCAAACCCCCAAATG